CTTGCAGAGCTCCTGACAGAGGGGAGTTGTTCTCCCCCCCACAGAAAAAAAGTAATGAATTAGTATTCCCCCCCCCCATACATTACGGTCAGGCTTTAGAGCCAAAGGCTTTGGTTGAGTGTCCTAGTCGTCCCCCAGCATAGGTTTTGGCTTCGGATGGTATGGTAGCTGTGTGCCGAAAAGATAGGATTTGATTTCGATGCCACACTGACCGATCTGACCAGGCGGGAATTTAGATAAGGTGCCACTGCTTGTGGCGGACTGCTGATATACTTAAAAAAACTGACTACTCATGAGTAGCTAGATAGATTCATCCGAACCACCGTCGATTCCGAAGCAACGAACTGGATTTTTAAAGTGGAGACGTACAAGACCCAAAGAAGTTAGGAAAAGGATACGCATTGTCTTTATTGGAACTCCAAGGGTAGAAAGGTTGAACATGCCAAAAGCCTGAAACTAAAGGGTCATTCGCTGTAAGTAGCACGAGTAAGGAATAAGGGCTTTGTGTGATTGAGCCTTTCGTGATCCAAGCACACTATATCTACAAGTTCGTTTAGGCAATCAGCATTTTATCCAGTCAGTGAAGCCAACCTGTGCCGAAAAGCCGAGAAGCACTGCGCTGCTGTTCTTTCCTTGCTTGGAATCATCAGCAGTGTACATCTCATGAAACCCAAGTCTCGAACCAGCAGTCGATGGAACACCTAACCGCATGATAACGATCGGCTGATCAGCATTATGATTAACTGTGGTTTGGACAAGACAGTAGCTCCGAGGAAGAATAGTTTCGCAAGGTCAAGAACAAGGTCACCAGAACAATTTCACAAGTCGTCACTCGAGGAACTACTTACCACGTGCCCACGTGATGTGGCTTCCGTCATAGAAGGAAGAGTGGCACTATGTCCTGTCTTATTGAGAGCTATTCACAATGCCGCTCGTCTTCTCGTGACCAAACGATTAAGTTTTCAATCACTGGCTCGAAAGTCGCGGGTCAGAAACTTCTTGGATTTTTACGAGAAGCACAGTGCTCCCAAAAGGGTGGAGCAGGTATACAATGCTTCTCATT